TCTAGTAAAGAATTAAAAAAATCCTAGCAGAATGTAAAACAGAATTCTAATATCGGTAAAAAATAGACCAATTCACTAAGATAAATTCCCAATAGCAAATAAACTACTAAGTCCCAGGTCGATCATTCCGGCCACCGGATACTGCAGGATCCGGCAGGAAAATGCGGAAAAAATCACCGTATCCTGCAGGAAAACACGGGAAATAGCGGGAAGTGGAAGCAGTATTCCGGCCGAAAATTTTCGGAATTTTTTCCGATGATTTCCCGGTCAGTTCCTGCCGGAAAACACAGGAAATTGATCGGAATTCACCGGAAAAAATCCGAAAAATTTCCGGCAGGAATACTGCTTCCATGTTCCGGCGATTTCCGGTGTTTTCCTGCCGTTTCCCGCCGTACGTCTTTGACCTGGGGTACCACACTAAGCTGTCAGGAAGTATTCTACAGAATTCTGACTAGGATTGAAATAGACCAGAATGAAATATATAGTGTTTGATAACATAAAAATGTATAAAATTCTGTAGAACTCTAAGCAAAATTTAAATGGATCGAAATGGGATATGTTGTCTTCGATGACACAACTCTACAGAATTCTAAGCAGAATGCTATTACCACGAAAGAATATAAACTTTGAATAGCCATACTATAATGTTATATGGCCAAGTGAAAAATAAAATTCTGATGAAGATTTTAAAAACATCGGCAGGATTTTAAAACAGAATTCTGTTGTCACTAACAGAATATCAATTTTCAATAGCTATACTTGAATTCAATGGCATATCTGCAATAGAAAAAAAAATCCTTCTGAAGAATTTTAAAATATTAGGAGAATTTGAAACAGAATGCTGTTACAACTATAGGCATATAAGCTTTCAATAGGTACACTAGAATGGTATATCTCAAGTAGAAGAGAAAAACTCTTATGAAGCATTTAAAAATATCAGAAGAATTTAAAGCGGAACTGTGGTACCGCTAAGACAATATAATCTTTCAATAAGCATACTAGAATGGTATAGCTCGTAGAGAGATGAAAAATTCTAATGAAGAATTTAAAAACATAAGGAGAATATAAAACACAATTCTGATACGAGTAACAGAATATAAACTTGCAGTATGAATACTAGAATTCTACATCTCCTAGTGAGGAAAGAACATTGTTTTTCATAGCATTGAATTCTACAGAATTCTCAGCACAATTTAAAAAGACTGGAATGAAAGACGTCATCTCTGATAATACAGAATTCTACGAAATTCTAAGCAGAATTCAAACAGACAAGAAAAGAAACGCTGTCTTTAGTGACATAAAATTCTACAGAATTCTGTTTTTGATAATACAGAATTTTCAGCAGAATTTAAACAGACCGAAATGGGAGACGTCATCTCTGATGATACAGGATTCTACAAAATTCTAGGCAGAATTCAAACAAACAAGAAATAAATAGGCTGTCTTTGGTGACACATTATTCTACAGAATTCTACAAAATTCTAAGCAGAAATCAAACAGACCAGAAAAGAATATTATAATCAAATCGCTAAAAAAATATATAAGTCCACAAAATTCTGAATTCTGCTTGCTAGGCATTCTGCAATTGTTGCAAAATTCTCCTTCTTTACCAGCTTTTCTTTTCCTGTTTATTACCCAATAAAAACTTAACTTTGGAACAATGATAACACATACTATTAAGATGAGGAGTGGTTTTCAAAACATGTTAAGGATAGACACAGCTGATTTATTTGCCAATTCTAGACTCTATCGTTTCAGTCTAGGGACTACTGTTGAGTAACGAAAATGGCTGTATGTATAGCATATTTAAATTTAACATAAGCGCTTGTTTTAGTAAAAGAAATGGAAAATTTTGAATGTGTTTCATTTAGATGTCACTCAATCTTTGCCAAGGAATAGAACAATTTTTGATAGCATTAAAAGTACAAACGGNATACCAGTTTCTCGCGACATCACGTTTTGCGCATCGCGACGCTGTTACATAGTGCTTCACTTCTTTTCTTTTTCTGTTTTGTTGTTCTTGTCATTTTCGAAGACGATGATGAAAAAGAAAATAATATTTGTGATGATTAAATTACGATGTGGTTAAGAATAAATCAATAGTCTATTTTTTGTTGATACACATTTGTTATTTTTCTGTTAATTGTATATGAATAAGAAAAGTTATTGAAAATAAACAGTTATCAGATAGAAATATTTTTATGTGTATTGAAATAAGATAGAAAGAATTTTGGGAACGTCAATTTTTGATTCTGTTCCCATTCCCGTGTTCCCATTCCCTAAGTCTAAATGGGAATGGGAAAATTAGGCAAAAAAAGTCTTTCCCGCAGGACACTAGTGTATATCCACCCGGCCTAAAATTCTAGTGTAGAATTTAAAAGTATAAGCAGAATTTAAACAGAATTCGGCTACAAGTAACAGAATACAAACTTTCTATAGGCCCATCAAGCGTGTATATATCCATCCGGCATAAATCTCTAGTGAAGAAATTAAAAGTACACGCAGAATTTAAGGAGAATTCTGCTAGAACTAACAGAACCGAAAGTTTCAGTAGTCAAACGAGGAGTGTATATATCCACCACAAATAAATTTCTAGTAAAGAATTTCAAAATACAAGCAGAATTTCAACAGAATTCTATTATAAGTAACAGAATACAAACTGTCTATAGGCATATCAGGCGTGTGTATATCCACCCGGCATAAACTTCTAGTGTAGAATTTAAAAGTACAAGCAGAATGTTAAGTGGCATCATCATATGTGTGTCATGTCTGCCGTTCTTTGTTACGACGTCACAGGCATTTCATCTATATCTTCTTTTGTTCTATACATACATGTGTGTGTATTCGTCGCCTTCTTTCTTCTGGTGACCTTTCCGCCTTCCGCAGAATTCTTCACCTTTGCTTGTTCTCACATATATATATATACTTGCTGCTTTAAACAATAAATCATTCCATTCCATTCTTGTTGATAATTGTGTAACATAATCTTCTCTGACTAGTAATTTGGACAAGTGATCGGCCACCTTCTCACAAGAACTTAAGCAGAATTCTAATACCACTAACAGAATATAAACATCTAGGAGGGCACACTAGAAGGTCCTATATCGACTAATAAAAAGTTCTACTAAACAATTTTAAAATTATCAGTAGAACTCAAAATAGAATGTTGTTGCGCCTAACAGAATGCACACTTTGAATAATCGAACTAGAATGGTATACATTCAAGATAAAAGAAATTCTGCTGAAGAATTTAAAAATAGCAGCAGAATTTACACAGAATTCTGGTATCATAAGCAGAATACAAACTTTTAATAAGCATACCAGAGGCTACACATGGATCAGGAAAAGATTTCTAGTAAAGAATTAAAAAAATGCTAGCAGAATGTAAAACAGAATTCTAATATCGGTAAAAAATGGATCAATTCACAAAGATAAATTGCCAATAGCAAATAAACTACTAAGTACCGCACTAACCTGTCAGGAAGTATTCTACAGAATTCTGACTACAATATAAATAGACCAGAATGGAATATATAGTGTTTGATAACATAAAAATGTATGAAATTCTGTAGAATTCTAAGCAAAATTTAGATGGATCAGAATGGGATATGTTGTCTTCGATGACACAATTCTAGAGAATTCTAAGCCGAATGCTATTACCGCGATAGAATATAAACTTTGAATAGCCATACTATAATGTTATATGTCCAAGGGAAAAATAAAATTTTGATGAAGATTTTAAAAACATCGGCAGAATTTTAAAACAGAATTCTGTTATCACTAACAGAATATCAATTTTCAATAGCTATACTTGAATTCAATGGCATATCTGCAAGGGAAAAAAATCCTTCTGAAGAATTTTAAAATATTAGGAGAGTTTGAAACAGAATGCTGTTACAACTATCAGCATATAAGCTTTCAATAGGTATACTAGAATGGTATATCTCAAGTAGAAGAGAAAAACTCTTATGAAGCATTTAAAAATATCAGAAGAATTTAAAGCAGAGCTGTGGTACCACTAAGACAATATAATCTTTCAATAGACATACTAGAATGGTATAGCTCGTAGAGAGAGAAAAAATTCTAATGAAGAATTTAAGAACATAAGGAGAATATAAAACACAATTCTGATACGAGTAACAGAATAAAAACTTGCAGTATGAATACTAGAATTCTACATCTCCTAGTGAGGAAAGAACATTGTTTTTCATAGCACAGAGTTCTACAGAATTCTCAGCAGAATTTAAACAGACCGAAACAGGAGACGTCATCTCTGATGATACAGAATTCAAACAAACAAGAAATAAATAGGCTGTCTTTGGTGGCACATTATTCTACAGAATTCTACAAAATTCTAAGCAAAAATCAAACAGACCAGAAAAGAATATTATAATCAAATCGTTAAAAAAATATATAAGTCCAGAAAATTCTGAATTCTGCTTGGTAGGCATTCTGCAATTGCTGAAGTATAAGAGTTGATATTTTTTGCCATTGCTTTTGTATCGCATGTTACTTAGCTAGATGTATCTTGGGCACAGCACGACGACGAAAGATCGCTGATTTTTTCATTGACAACAATACCCATGCGGTAAACAAATTGTTTAGCATAACCTGAATAAAAAAGAACCATTACAAAACACAGGATAACAGTATTAAACATATTTTTAAGTAATTCCGAGAAAAATATACAAGCATTGAAATAAATTGCACAATCAACAGCAACAATTTTGTTTACGACGATATGAGCTATGACCG